CTGTATCCTTTCTTGTGAATTTATATGCATATGTATTTTTGACTCATATTTAGACATTTAATTCTCCTTTTTATTTAATGGATTTTCACATATACAGTATAATAGGGTAGATGAATAACTGCAAAATTAAACTACAAAACAATCACATTTTAAATGTTTTAAATGAAATGAAACTAAAGCTTACTGGTATTTTTTATAAAATGGTACCATCTCAACATGAGTCAGCATTAAGGTAAGAGTCAGAGAGATGGAGTGTGTGTTGTGTATGCATAATCACGTATTTCTGAGGTCGTGAGACACCTAAAGTGTGATTTAAAAAAAAAAAAGAAAGCACATCAAGCCCCTCATGTATTTAGATCTGGTGTATTTTTCCTGTAGTCTGAACTGTTTGCGTGTGTTTGCAGGCGCTGGAGAGGTTCTATGAGGCTGTCATGCAGGCGATTCTTCGCCACATTAATTTCGATGGTAATGCTGCTGTGTACACAGACACGGACATAAACACACACACACAGTATGTTCCTGTTTCGTGTCGCACACTTCTCCCTTTTTCATAGCTTGTTCCCACCACATATTTCACGGTTGTTTTATCAGAATCATTGTTGTTATTGTTTTCACATAATCATTGCTTGAATTAAAGATAAGAAGTTTTGATTTTCTCTTCCTCTTAGTGGTGAAGTGCATGCTGGTCGCCAGTCCAGGCTTTGTGAAGGATCAGTTCATCACCTACCTCTATAAGGAGGCGGTGCGACAGGACAACAAGGTCCTGCTGGAGAACCGACCCAAATTCATGCTGGTCCACTCCTCATCAGGTCACAAGTACTCACTCAAAGGTATGACCTGGTGGGCCCTGAGAGAAAAACATTTAAGGTCACCTATTATGCAAAATCCACTTCTCCATGTCTTTTATCCATAAACAAGTGTCCCCTCTGTGGAAAGAGATTCTGAAAGTTTCAAGAAAAAAGATTTGCTCTCTTTTCGTCCTGATCCATTTTTATAAAAACCTGTCTGAAAATGAGCTGATCAGATTTTGGCCACTTTATGATGTCATAACGATTTTTTGGCTTGTGTAACCATTAGCCAATCAGCAACCAAGGTAACCCCCCCCCCCCTCCTTATCACCTGAATCTCCTCCTAGAGCACCATTGTGTTCTTTTTAACCAAATGTCTCTCAGAGGGGCGTGGGGAGGGGCTCCTTATTTTCATCTGAAGTAACAGACAGAGAATCAGCCCTTTTGAAACAGGGCTGAAACAGAGGGGATTATGGGTAATGCTGCAATGATCTGTTTGGTATTTCGAGCCAAACACTCCAGAGACATGTTTTGTATATATCTATATATTACCTATAATATATTAATGAAAAACAGTATAATAGGGGACCTTTAAACCTCAACACAAGGTGGAAACTAAATGAAGTGCTTGTTGTTTTGCAGAAATCCTGTGTGACCCCACAGTGACGAGCAGGCTGTCTGATACCAAGGTGCATATGATTTAGTATCTTTTTTTATCCTCTTGTAAACAAATGCTCTCAAGCTGACATGCATGTTTTAACTTTCAGGCAGCATCAGAGGTGAGAGCACTGGAAGATTTCTACAAGATGCTCCAGCATGAGCCTGACAGAGCCTTTTACGGGTGAGTGATGACGGGGGAGAACAGTAAACAGAGTCATCCCTCGGCCACGCTGATAATAAACGACCTTTGTTTCGGTGCATCCTCACAGAGTGGCTCATGTGGAGAAAGCAGCTGACGTCCTCGCCATCGACACCCTGTTGATAAGCGACATACTGTTCAGGTACACACTGAAATGACTCTATCAACATCTGTTTTAAATACACAGCACATGTTTGCTTCATACAGAAAGAGGTGTTGGGTTAACCTAGCTGCTGATTTATGATCAGCTGTTAGAAACCAACGTTTTTCAACGAATGGAGTTTCTTATTTCTATGCAATCAAAAAACGTATGCCACCAGAATTTTAAAGACATTAAAATACAACAATCACATAGAAATCATTCAGCAATTTATAATATGTAATCTATTCTTGCAACTCCTTTTGGCTTATCAGTGAGGTGAATGTAGTAAACACATCAAATCTGCTCTGTGTAAAACAAATGTTGTGTCTACATGCTTTCATCCAGACATCAGGATGTTCCAACGAGGAGTCGCTACGTTCGCTTGGTTGACAATGTGAAAGATAATGGAGGCAATGTCAGGTACTAATTATATTTTAAAAGTATTGGTTCTCTGTATTCTCTGCCAAGCATCCCGCTGATGAGTTTCTCTTTTTTTCCCTGCAGAATATTCTCAAGCCTTCATGTGTCTGGTGAACGTAAGTTTGAAAACCATTCTGACTATTTATTTAACATTTAAAGACAGACGTTTTCTATTAACACATATAGTAGCATCATGTAGTTGTGTATTAAAGGTTCTCTGTGGAGTCTCTTGTAAATGAAAAAAGTTTAATTTTGGTGTTCCTCACTTTGTGACATCATGATCCCAAAGAAAAATGTGGTTACGTTACGGTGTCCCCATTGCGGAATATAAATATATATATAAACAAAGGAATAAAGAAATAAAAAAACAAGTACGTTAATTATACTCCATAGTAATTATTTGTATTTATATGTTTTTACTTCAACACACACAAACAGTGTTAACTCATTACATCTACTAACTGTGTGCAGCCGAATAATAGGACACTGCATGCAAGCATATCATCGTGCGTGATATAACTAAAGAGGATCTGCTCTTAACCTGAATTCCCCGAGGGGATTAATAAAGTAGGCCTTCTTCAAACATTGCTCCACAGTGCTACTAGTGGTTAAACAAAACACCTCTATAGGCGCGTTCACACCAAGTACTTTTCCCACAAAGGTTCCTGAGAACTCTTTAGTTCTCATGAACTAAGTACAGATCGCGTTCACACCGGAAATTAGTCCCTGGGGGAGGATTAGGCAAATGACGCTGACGTCACTTCTTCTTCTTCTGCTTTGGGTTTACTGGCAGGCCGCAAACAACTTCACGGCGTATACTGCCACCCGAAGTCCCCGGAGTTAGGGACTGGCTTCAGTAGAAGCTGCTGGGACTCCCAGCAGCTTCTACTGAAGCCTTCCGAGTAAACGGCCAGAACGCCGACACCTCCTCATCTCCACCGCTCCCATGTTTTATTTTGTGTTGTCATAAGTTAGTCTCTCTGCGTTTCTGCACTGGGCTGATGCTAATGCTAATAATGCAATGTGAGGATAATAAAATGGCGGCTTCACAAAAGTTTTTGGGAGTTTGACGGGGCGTGGTTTGCAATCCGCCCAGCCAATCAGACACAGGAACCTTTTTCTCCCACGAAAGTCCCTGCTCTCTAGTACCTCACACTGCTCTCTAGTACCTCACACCAACGCAACTCCGGTTCAAGCTCCGTGCTAGAGCTTTTCAGGTTCAGAACCGGTTCTTCGGTTTAGCTCCGGCTCTTTTCACAGTGCCCAGAGTCCGACTGGTGCTGCGTCATCGTTTGCGTGATGACGTAACCGTTTGCATGCCTGCTTCATAAAGCCAAACCGCGCGGAAACCCCTCACAGCTGACACAGACAACAACAACAATGGCCGATTGTGCTCCAGCTTCCTCTCTACCTCTTCGGAAGACCAGATTCCAGTAGGTAGCTGGTCTCTTGAGTGGACCACTGCTGCTTGTTAAGTTTCTCCATCGTTGTGTATAAACTGGATAAAACGCCGGCTTTTTGTTGTTGTTCAGGAGTTGATCCCGCCCCTGCCCCCGCCTCGACGTAAGCGTGACGTATGTGGTGCTTTTGCTCTAGCCGGAAAAAATGTTGGTGCTTGAAACGAACCGGATTCCGGAGCTAAGAGGCTGCTCCGCTGCGGTGTGAACAGGAAAACCCGGTGCTTTTCAAGCTCCAGCTCCGAACCGGCCCTGGAACACCGTTGGTGTGAATGAGGTATAGCAGGGACTGAAAGGGGTAAAAAAGGTTCTCTAGAACTAATTTAGTTCCTGGGACTTTTTGGTGTGAACGCAACTAAATCGTAGTTCTCAGGAAAAAGTACTTGGTGTGAATGCGCCTATTGTATTGCCTAACTTGTATTGACCAGTATGAGTGAAATGACGCCAACATGCTATCAGGTCTGCACTGTCAATGTTTGATTACTGGCTTTAGGAGGAGTATACTGATGTCCTAATAGCACACTGACCTGATAAGAGTCACAACACATGAATGAAGGCCCCTCGTTTTTCTTTTTGAAGACGTACAGTTTCTCATTTGTGTTGAATCAATTGAAGTTCTGGTTGTGTGTCATCACCTTGATTTATTTGTCTCCTCAGAACTGACTCAGCTGAGTGGAGTGGCTGCCATCTTGCGGTTTCCCATCGCCGACCTATCAGAGCATGAGGACGACAGCAGCTCAGACGATGATTGATTGACAGAAAAGAAGGAGAAAAGAAATAGAAGGGGGTCGTGTTGCAGATAACACAAGAATGCATTGACTCAGCGTGTTGTAAGACAATAAAACTGCAGGTATTCTTTATTCCACCTCTGCAACATCCAGACCGAATGAAAGGTGCCGGTTAAGGTTGCCAATGATAAGGAATGTCATATTTTTTGCCAAGTCCAAATGAAAACAGTTACAATCATGACATTTACCAATATGAAAAAAACTGTGATTTTTCCTTTGTATATACAATTTATTTCTCTTTCAATTAAACAACAGAAGCGTTCAACCAGTTGCGTTGTTTCACTTTGTCGCACACGTGAATGTAATGCACAGAGCCAGATGTAAAAATATATAATTTATACAATATTTTACATTTAAAAGCTATTTTGGTTATGGGTAATACGACCCAAAACTACTGCATTTTAACAAACTAAAAATCAAGTGTCTTCAGGATTTTTTATTTGATAGTGTTTGAGTTCCACAGTTACAACACTGTCAGTTCCTCTTCTTCTTCCCTGGCAAGACGTCAAATTGCAAACTTCCCTTGTGAAGAACGTCAGCAGCTAAGACTAAAGTGCAATATTTAAAACAACCTTCCTCTCTCCTAAATTTCATTTCCTATCAGTTCATGAGTGTGCACTTTATACGCTTTGCTCAGTAGGACACTGGAAGGTCTTAATCCATTCGAAATCCTCCAGAGTGCCCCAGTGCAGGTAGATAATGGAGCACACCACCATGACATGCATTATCTGGTGACTGTTGCCCCAGTTGTCAAACAGGCCGGGGACGAAGCGCTCGGGGATCTGGATGATGTTGACCAGCCCCCCCACTACAGCCAGAGTGTCCATGATGACAAAGAGACGCAGTGAGTGAGGGCTGCCCACCCCGCTGCCGAACACCCTGAACAGGAAGAGCAGGAAGCGGAACATGGCCTGCCAGATGAACGCTTGCAGGCGCAGGATGTTGGTGCGGGCCGTGGTGGCGCAGTAGATGCCGTACGCTGACAGGAGGGTGTAAGTCAGCAGAGCAGCCTGTCGCAGGAGGGGGTAGCAGAACAGGGTGATGTGGATGATGGGGAGGGCACCTGGGGACAAGAGGGGGGTGATGTACAAGTGAAGAAACAGCAGGGAAATAATATAAAGTAAGATACATTTGACACACCTTGATTTTGAGTTTCAAATGTACAAAGGTGTAGACTTGAGATGTAGATGTACTGTCAAGCCATACAAATGTAGACTTCTGTTTTACTATTAATGTTGTGAAATGTAAGACTTCAGACTCAGAAATCCTTTCTTTGTCTCTCCATGGGGACATTTACATGATTGCAACAGCAGATAGTGCAGGCAAAGTGAGGTTAAAATAAAAATGGCTTGTTACAAACCAGATTTCAAGACTTTTAGGTCAGAAATATAGATCAACAAGCCTTTGACATTGTACAATATCAGAATGAGAACACTGTCTGGGTCAAAATTCAATAATAATTCATTCTGCATTGGAGTTGCACAATGCTCACCCTGTCTGGGTTATTTTTGCTACAATGATCAGCCTGCTTAATATTATCCGTAACTTTGGGAGGATATTTGGCAACAGGAAAACTGTCTGTAATAAACAAAATAAGGACTATTTATTGGAGAAGGTTGTGACTTTGTGTGGAATCTCTGCTGGTTGCTTGTAGGCTGGAAAAATAGTCACATGTTGTCTCCCACAATGTTGGTTTCCCTTATTCTTTATAGTACACATTATTAAGGGGTTTTGATATCTTTGGAAGGAGCATGGCCTGCTGTTCTTAATGCTAACCAAAAAAGAAAAATATCAGATAGAAATTCAGAGCCAATTATCAACAACCTACCTAGGGTATTTACTAGGCAGACCCCGAACATGTCCATGGAGAGCAGGGTGTCGTACACATGTTCCCCTCCCACGTGGTTCATGAACACATGGTAGACCACGGAGCCCACTGTGGGGCTGAGGCAGGCCAGGTAATGGACCGCACAGATCCAGGAGCTGTCCACCTCCATCCAGGGGATACTAAAGGGCAGTAGCACCAAGAAGAGGAAAAAAGGGACGCCTGAAGGGATGGGAAAATGAAAGGGAAAAGAGGATGAAATTAGTTAAGTGAAACATTTTCTGTTAGAAAGGCCTGTAATTAAAAGCATTACCCTTAAGTGTTGTTATTGCAGAACATTACTTTCAGTGCATACAAAATGCTTGATTTGAAGTTTGTAAAGTGGACCATGTGCAATAGTCTAACTCTAATTGCATCTGTTTTTATATTGAGCAAATGTTATTAAATATCATGCAGAGCAATTTAAGGGATTTAATAGCGATGCTTCTTAAACAGGAAGCATGTGAGAGATGTGCTTGTTGTTCCCATTCCAAGAGACAACCTAATGCCCTTCACTTCCCCTTTGTAAGAGTGTTAGTGTTAATGAACTAATGGGATAGTCAAGCAGAAAATGGAGCAAGAGGAAGATAGCTTTCGGAAGTTCAAGGTTGGATAGCTTTTAGCTCATGCACAGCGTTTATATACATTTAAAATTGTGCTCGTCTTTGCACAGCTTGATTTTATTGTTGAAAGTGTTACATAAAATGCACACTTTTAAAATCTGTGTTGTAATTCTACGACTGCGTGCTATCTGTATGAAAACCTTTGTATCTCCAGGATGCTTTGCCCATAATAACTCATATGTGAGCATGCACAGCTTAAAGGTGTCAGGCAAACACACACACCTTCAAAGACCGCTTTAACAGTAGGTTATTTCCAGGACAGGATTCCCAGGGAAGATTACCGCTAATGCCCCATATCCTCATTACACATCCTCGTCAAGTATACAACGGGCCATAAGTGAGAGTAGTGACATTGGTGACCCATTTGTTTGTGCAACTGATATATAGTTACATTTCTGGGAGACATTTTCTCTGTGTGTTACTGTTAGATACATTTGAATGGGAGAATTCAAATGCAAACAACATTTGATATAATCTCAAGATTGTCATTAAGGATAAAGATTTAAATAAAGGCAGTGTAGATCATTTCTGCACTTACCATGGGTGTAAATGTTCCCCAGCTCATTGTGCATGTAGAAGAGGCTCCTGATGCACTCCTGGGCCGTGGACACTGGCCGGTAACCCGTGAGCACATACTTGTTGAACTGAAGGTGTTGTGGGGTCTTTGCAAATTCCAACAGCCGCGGCCCTTTGTAAAGCCCCATCATGACTTCCTGCAGCCAAGGCCCTCACATTGAGTTGAGGCTTCTCACCATTTACATCCTAAACGAGGCCGCGCTCTTCACTCTGAGACACATTCATGACCACAACGAGCCGGAAATTCTGCTCCCTGAATCCACCATTGGACAGGTGTAATTCCAAGCAAGCAACCTGTTGAGCTGGCCAAGTGGCATGCTTTCAGGAGGGCCAATCAGAAAGGGGTCTTAACCCTAATCCAGGGTAATCCTCACAAATAGCCATGTGCACTACTGCAGCCTTGACATGGCTCCAAACAGACTCAAGTCATTGTAGAATAAGGTGAATTTTGTATTTCACCTGTTATATACTGCACATGATACTATAACCCAGGGGTATTCAACTAAAATTCAACGAGGTCCAGTTAGAGAAAATGTCCTCATGCAAAGGTGCGGAACATCAAAATGTCTAACTTGCTTTATGAATTAGTGTGATATATATTGAAGTGACCTGTAGCTTTATCAACGTCTGCATGTAATCAACAACTGACTGCCAATCAAATAAAGAAAGTACAATTCAAAAACAACAATATTTATTGTCAATTAACATTGAACTATTATACAGTAAATACTGTGGATATATGTAATGTTCCTCTCGGGCTGCATTTACAAATAAAATAGAGAAGATAAATAAAATAGCTTTTGAAAATATGTGCATCTTAAAAGTGCTTAATAAATAAAATAAAGTGTAGCAGCAGCTTGAGTTTCCCTTTTTCTTTGTTAACCGTTTCACATCATGACTTAACAGTTTCAGACGATTATAGAACAATATCAGTTTTCTTTACACATCATAACCATTGAACAGTTTTAAAGTTTCTCTTTCTTTCCCTCTTCAGTCCCTCACTCACTTTTTTTAATTCAGTGCGAGAATTGAGCTCGAGCTTATCCTGCCAGGAGTTTAGATCTGGGCTGAAATGATGTCAGGGCCATTCTCATACACATGCAGGTGCTCATTGGTTACAGTGATGCAAACACAGGTATGGTGAAAAAAGAGAGAACTATTCGAAGCAGAAAAAAAACAGCGTAATATACCATCTGACTAAGGCCTGTGCTATAATGCTTCAATTAACTGGCTATTCTTTATAATATACTCAGATCAATAGGAGACAGAGATGTTAAGTTATAAATCAAGGGTTTTTATTATTATTTACAGCAGGGGTGGGGACCTTTTTTCCTTTCAATTTTTACAACATCCTCAGAGAGGGCCATACAAATGATTGAACTCAACCTCTGCTTAAAAAAACTAAAATCACAGCCCATTCATTTGGCCTTTCTTTCATGCTGTGCAAAGAAAAAGCAACCTCTTAATCCAGATATCTCACCATGACTCGCGCATGCATGCATGTGCACGGTTGTGGCATGACCACCAAAACAGAAAGATATGGACATAAGATGTGTGTAAATGTATTTAGTATCCTATCCATGACCATGTGAACATGACTTAAGTGGGGGGGGGGCTAACCTCCTCTAGGGGGGTCCGGGGGCATGCTCCCCCGGGAATATTAAATATTGAAGTTAAAAGCATCAATCTGGTGCACTTTGAGAGCAACATGAAGAGATCTATGGATACATCTTTCAACCCAGGTGGTATATCCTGCATCAGAACTGCTAGGGCGGCGAAGATGGAGACATTCACAGATATTGGTTGATCGTTTCTGGTCTGCCTTCGTGAGACATTATCTGCCTAGCCTTCAAACTCGAAGCAAGTGGCATAGACAAACAGAAGACATCAAAGTAGGAGCGGTTGTACTGTTTGTCGACCCACAGCTTCCACGAGCATTATGGCAGATTGGGCAAGTGACCAGAATATTTCCTGGGCCAGATGGTCACATCAGAACAGCAGAAGTGAAGATACAGGACAAAACCTACACCCGGCCTATATTTCGTCTTATTGTCCTCCCAGAGATCCATGACGAGGACAACAAGGGATCAGATCCCTCATCTGAGTAGTTAGCCTTTCCATGGAAGCCAATTTGCACCGCAAATTGGCGGGCGGCTATGTTCTATGGGCTCAGAACAGTCTCATAATACACACATGCGCACAGAAGGATTCACACTTGTATTTCATGATCCGCAAAAGGAGTCACACTTGTATTTCCGGATCCACACTTGTGTTTTTCAATGCACACACAAATGTGTTCCGTTTCATATACATGTAAATAAAATCCAAATACAGAAAAAAGTTTTACATATGTATTTTTGATCCTCACATATTTGTTTTCCGTTTAAATCCGCTGCACCTGCAAACACAAACAGCTTTCTGTGCACGGATCGCTGTGCATTCGTGTGTGGGTTTTTTGAGACTCCCCTGACGGTCAGCCGATTCGTACTTGTAATTATTTCTATCTATAGCCAATCAGATGTCTCCTCAATTCTAAGCCAATCACATGAGCGCGCCCCCACGAGGGTAGATTTCTTGCGTTCATGACGTAGCGCTTCATGTACGCATTTTGCGCAGTCCGGCTAATCTCAGGACACCCTCCACTCTCAGTACAGCGCCACTTTCCGAACAGGAAATGCACGCAAATACAAGCCTTTATATTATTAAGGTACAGCGCCACTTTCCGAACCATTGATGAATGCTTGTGTACACAAAAACGGCAGGCAAAACCGTTTTAAATGTGTGTTTCCTGTATGGCGAATACAGCTGCTTTATTTATGTCTGTATGAAGTTGTTGTGAGTGTGGAGGGAGCAGCTACAGGTTAGCTTAGCCTAATCGATCAGTGCACTACGAAGCCAGTGCTAGACAGTGACCTGTTAACGGGGGGGAGCCCCGCCGGTCATTATCGGCCGATATTCACTCTTAATAGTTTGATCGGTGCTCTCTATAAAAGCCGATCAGGAGAGCTGGATCTGATCGATATGGACATAAACGCGAGTGAAGTATAACCGGACGCGAGAGAGAGATCAGATCAGCTGCTGAGTCTGATGGAGACACGCAGCTCTGCATGATCACCTGATGCTCCGCCCTCTGTTTAGCGAGCTGACCGGACTGCGCAAAATGCGTATATGAAGTAATCTTACCCTCGTGGGGGCGCGCTCATGTGATTGGCTTAGAATGAAGGAGACATCTGATTGGCTATAGATAGAAAACATTACAAGTACGAATCGGCTGACCGTCAAGGGAGTCTCAAAAAACCCACACACGAATGCAAAGCGATCCGTGCACAGAAAGCTGTTTGTGTTTGCAGGTTCAGGGGATTTAAACGGGAAACTAATAAGTGAGGATCAAAAATACATATGTAAAACTTTTTTCTGTATTTGGATTTTATTTACATGTATATGAAACGGAATACATTTGTGTGTGCATTGAAAAACACAAGTATGGATCCGGAAATACAAGTTTGAATCCTTCTGTGTGCATGTGTGTATTATGAGACTGTTCTGAGCCCATAATGTTGGAAAGCCTGCTGACTGTTACTCCAGCGCCCTCTGTTGGCGGCACGCGCAATTGTAACTATCAAGCACATGGAGCGCAGCTGTTAGGAGAAAGGGAGAAAATAACGTCATGTTGACGGAGCGCAGCCTGGACCTTCAGTGGCGACCTAGTGTGTGAGCTTTGTGCGTCTCTGAACAACAGTAAGTTAATGTTACTCGCATGGGACTGGACAGTATTAAGCCTTTCACGACATATTAGTTGTTTTGGAGTTAGATAACTCCGGTTATTATCGACAAGTTGAGCTAAGCTAACAAAGCTTAGCACTACGTAGCTGTACTTCTCTCCATCTGAAATGTTATGTTTGACCCTGTTGGCAATGTCTAATGTTTAGATGGCATATTAACCTTTTTTACTGTAAGTTAAAGGAATGATCTGTGCAGTATATTTCCTTTGTATGTGGAAGGGTAAATGGTAAATGGACTGTACTTATATAGCGCTTTATCCAGTCTTTAAGACACCTCAAAGCGCTTTTCATACTACATGTCGTTCACCCATTCACACCCATTCATACAGAGCAGTGTATGTTACTCTAGGTCTAGGACCTAACATGCATACACATTCACACACCGTTGGCAGTGACGAGAGGAAGAGAACCGACATCCGAGGGAACAAATATCCGCCATGTTGTTAGCCACCCTGCTAGCATATCAACGGCTAAAGCTACAACGGAGCCTCCCTCCCCCCACCACCACCCCACCTCTCCAAACACCACGGCAGGCCGCAAGCCGGTTGCTGTAACGGACAAAGACAAATATCTGCAAGCTGACGACATTGTGCATTTAAGCAACAAAAATGGACTACATATTTTTCGTCTGAACACTAACAGCCTGAGACACAAACTGGCTGAACTCAGGCAGCTATTCATGAACGGTAAGGCAAGCATATTATGCTTTTCTGAGACCAAATTGGACAATTCCATTACAGATTCAGAGATTGAAATTGAAGATTATCTTGTAGTGAGAAGGGACAGGAACGTAAATGGAGGTGGTGTCTGCATGTACATACATAAAGACACCAATTTCAAAAACTGTACTGACCTGCATCATGAAAATATTGAATCTGTGTGGGTTGAAATTCTTTTTGACAATGCTAAATCTGTAATAGTCGGGACAATCTATAGACCACCGGAACAGAGTGACTTTTATGATACATTAGATGGGTGTTTGGCTGATGTGGGGGATGTAGAGACAATTATTATTGGAGACTGGAACACGGATATGCAACGTAAAGACACGTCCGTCTTCAAGTCCTTCAGTAGGATTTGTGATCTGCACGGCTTCAGCCAGCTAATCACCCAACCCACCCGGGTATGTGAAACAACACAAACTACCATTGATCTCATTCTGACCTCTGACAAGTCCAGGATCTCCAGTAAAGGGGTTATAGCATGCGGTTTAAGTGATCATTATATGATATTCTGTACCCGCAAAAAGCCAAAACAAAGGGCCGGCTGTCACAAAACAGTCATATCTAGAGACCTCAAAAACTACTCTAGCGAGGCCTTTAACCTAGAACTGGAGAGCCTGGACT